AGTCTATTTCATGTAATAAATGAGCTATCAAACTGAAGTTTGAACTTTAAGGAGCTATTATAAAACCCACAGGAGGATAATTTAAGACTGGAATATTTTGAACATCAGTGGATTTTTTTATCAGTACCATTCTCTGTCGTGATGAGGATTTTGGAATTCCTAAAAAAATATAAATTTCATAATTATGTTGAAGCTTTGGAAGAGACTTTTGTCAATATAGAAATAATCAAAACCTTTCCCCAGCATGCTTTTTATGGAATTTTCTTTTTTCACAGGTTCGTATCCTTAAGTTATTAAAGCTTGATCCCAAAATGGTTTTTCAAAGTGATTCTTGGAAGTATTTGCAGAATCAGCATAACTGGATGATTTAGAATAATAATACATCATTCCTTTGAATTTTTCAAACCTTATGTGATAAATGATCTTGGGAAAAATAAGACACCTGAACTTCACTTACACCCTTGGGATCAACATGGCTTAAAATTTCTGTGATATAATGAAGGAAACCACAGTGGAAAAAAAGCACTGCATTTTAATTTGGCAGCATCTAAGACTACCCAGGTGTTGGGATTTAACTGAAGCGTATTCTCTCTGACTGTCATTTATATGTTCAGTTTGATCTGGCTTGGGGTAATAAGCTGTGACAACAGTCGTCATTACTTATCTTTTCTCAAGCTAGGTCTCTGTCTCTCTCTCCTCCCACACCCCCTCACTTCTTTCTTTCAACATTTACTTTGATAGAAGAAAAGATGATAAGCCAAAGAAAACCTAAACCTTTGCTTTTAATATAAACCTTTGCTTTTAATATACTGGCTTCATCAACACACTGCATTTTCTTCATTTTGTTTTTAGATGCCCAAGGATCCCGAAATGGCAGGTTGTTGGTTTGCTTACGTTTTCCCCAAGAACATAAATGAAATGGGAGATAAGTAACCAGGATACATTTTCTGACTTTGGTGAAAGGACTATGACTCATCTTGTTAAAGGCATACAGGGATCTTAATTTCAGAGAGTAACATATGTTAGTCCCAACTGTTTCTACATCGATTGTGGTAGTGACAAGCTTTGGAGAAAATGTTGTAAAAGCATACTTATTTTCATTCTTATTCGCTTTATGAAACAGAATGATCCTGGAAATAGACACTGGGTGGACGATAACATTATGCCATTACTTAAATTACTGTAACCACTAATGCGTTGGCAGGAATTTACCTTGAACCTAGAAAGCTTTCGGAAGTGAGCCAGTTTCATCTTGCGTAACTCTAAAAATTAAAAAAATAAACGTCGTTTTCTTGAAACATGATTCTATACATATCAAATCCTGTTATGATTTATTAAGAACTGGGGGAGGTATAAATTTATGGTTTCCTTAATTAAAAGAACAGTTAAGGATTTAAGAGCTTTGTATTTAAACAAAGAAAAGGTGTTTAATTGGGGATAAGTTGGGGTACAACTTACAGGGGTACAGTTAGGGTAATAGAGTGAGGTGTGTAGGTAATAGTTTCAGTAATTACTAAATTGTCAGATCCACTTGTTTCTCCAGTTTGCAACAAAGGTGCTCATTCTTAACGCGCACGTCTTTTGGTACGTGAGAGGGCGCTCAGCAAGAAACGGGCCAGCAGCAAGAAAGAGTGGAGCCCAAGAATGAACACAAAAATTGATTTTCCGAGACTCTGGATACCAGTGATTTTCCACTCCTGTTAGGATTTTGATTTCTTTCCAGAAGGATCTCAGCAGTGGCTACCTGCCAGGGGAGAACAATATTCAAGTTCTTGTGCCAACTGGCCTCTAGCGGCTCTCTCTCTAGCAGTTAGGAGCCCCTCAGGTTTTACATTCTGTGCTATTAAAGAACCACTGCTGCCTTGAATCACTGAGTTCCACAGAACCCAGTGTTTGAGGAGTGGCTAGGAGCATACCTGCATCGGGTATACTGTGCCTGTCAAGCACATGCCATACCATGCAGTGGGTAGATGCAGATGGCTGTAGTAGTCACTGATTTGGTCTACCCACATCAGTCTGCCATAACTATTTAGATTTTGTGGTAGATGTTTGAAAGGTAACAAAATAGGTATAGGTGCTTTCAAAAGCCATTATTTTCCTTCATTGGTATCCAGCTTTAAACTTTGCACACAGCACAAAATATCAAGATAACTCTCTGCCTTTGCTTTCCTTGTTTATCATTTCTTGAATATCTTCGTAAGTGCAATGACTGTGATAAGAACTTTGACTCTGTTTTAACAGAAAGTAGTTTATGGAGTTTGCCATAGTCCCTCCATCTAAAGCAGTGACTCTACATTGGAATCACCTAGAGAGCTTTAAAAAATCCAGATGCCTGGATTTATTCTGAGAGATGAGAATTTACTAGGTTAGGCACACAGCCTCAACACTGGAATTTTTATAATCTCTCCAAGTGATTCAGTTCATAGTGGAAGGTTGAGAAATACTGATTTAGAAGTTGTACCAGTTATAAAATAGGAATAATGTTGATTTATTTATAATTAACTATATTGATCAATTTTTAAATGTTCACACTTAAAATAAGGTGAATTAGAATTTGTTATGAAATACAGTGCTTCATATGGAAATGACCACAAATAAGACTATACAGTCGTCCCTCAGTATCATGGGGATTGGTTCCAGAAACCTATCCCCACCCTTGTGCATACCAAAATCCACAGATGCTTAAGTCCCTGTTATAAAATCATGTAACGTTTGCCTAAAACCTACCCATATCCTCCCATATATATTAAAATGTGATATAAATGCTGTATAAATAGTTGTTATACTATATTATTTAGGGAATAATGATGAGCACAAGTGTGTGCGTGTTTTCTGTGGATGTGCCCCTCTCTTTTTTTTTTTGCCATATTTTTTCTCTGTTTTTTGTAGTCCCTTTTCATGTGGGGTGTCCTGTGTGTGTTTTTCTATATATATGTGTGTGTTTTGTGATGTGGTGTAGGGTGTGGGTGCTATCTCTGTTCTTCTCGGTTTTTATCTGTGTATTCTCTTTTTTCTGTTTTTTTTTTGTTTTCTCTCAAATCTGAGGGTTTTATCTGAGACCGTCTCCACCCCTTTTCTCCTTTCTGATATGATTAGTAGCCCTTCATTTCTGAGATTACTGATGTCTTTATAGAACTAGATGAAAGAGCATATCCAACCCCCTGGAAATATATTTAAGCAACATCAGCTTATCATTAAGGCCATGTCTCCATGATTATAATTATGCTGTGGCAAGACAAGACAGTGTATTTATTTTCTCCTCTTCCCCTCAGTCTTGTCTCTCTTGCCAAATTTGTTTTAGCAACTCATTCAGTAAGCCCAAAATGTCATTCTTTGGTCCACAACTGGATAGCTAATAACATTTATTAATTCACATAAAAATGAAAATACTTTAAAAGTTACCCATATTGCAACTACGTAGAAATAATCTCTCTTCACAGTTGGACTTATTTCTTTCTAGGTTCTTTTTTTCCTTCACTAGTGTGGATCCTTTTAAAAATTAGAATTGGGAGCATGTCGTACATACAATTTTCTAACTTGGTTTTCTTAACATTATATTGTATCTTTAAATATCTTACAAATAAATTTTAGTATAATCATAATTATGCTTATGGATATGATGTTAGTTATTTCCTCAGTATATAGATTCCTCAGTATTGAAGATTTTGACCACCACGTATTTAAGGTGTAAAGTTACTATTTTACTTTATGATTTTTAGATCTACTGGTAATATGGAAAACCAGGTTCACTCGTGGGAATTTGAGACTCCTGACTGGATGGCGATCCTATGAGTACCCCACCCTTTTGTCTAACATAAAGGGGATGCTATTAAAAAGTAGTTATAGAAGATTCAACTCTGTTGAAAGTATCCTAACATCCTACTGTTCGTGTTCTCTGCTATCAGTAAGCCCACTGAGAGAAGCTTAGCAATCTCTACTGTTCTGTTGTCCTCTTAGGGTAGGGATTCCGTCTGGAGGTGTGATTTCGTGTTCACAGGCCCCTAAGGTAGCTCTGCCACTGGTCCTTTCCCTAACAGTCAGGCTTACTTTGCCCAAAACCAATGAGGTGGCTACAGCATCATAACCTTGCCTAGGCCCTACAACAGGTGCCCCAGCCCTACCTCTTGACCCTGTATTTGGTCACTGGTCTTTCAGCAAAGACGACCCTCACCACCTGGGTGAGTACACCTTGATCACAGAGGGGGAGGACTATAAACTTGGGGTTCCACATGGTGTCACATTTCTTGTTCCAAGAAATCAGCACAATGGCCTATAATTCGAAAAAAACATTGTTGGTTTTTTTCCACATGAAGACCCATGCCTCTTCTAGTGGTAGTAAACCTCTAAAATAGTAGGATGGTTATCTCTTACCTTTATATACTTCTGTTGTCTGGGTTCGATCATTCTGGTCTTCCTGTGATCTTTTCTGTTATGCATGTGGAACAATCTGAAGTTGTGTGTATGCTGAGATAATTCATCTTTCATTCCTGGTACATTGCAGTTGATTGGCCTGAAGGCCTGCTAGTCTCAAGTGTTATTCTTTAGAGAAAAATCCTTATTTCTATTCCATACATTTATGCTAATTTATTCATTTATTATTTGTTCCTATTATAATTATAGATATATAACTGATTTTCTCTGTGTTTTAAGAAGTCTAAAAATTCAAAAAATTGGTTTTTAGCCATTTCTTATGATAGAAATGTTTTATTCAAATATCATGCTTTTGTTCTTAAAATATGTCAACTAGGTTTTTGGGGTTTTTTTTGTTAGCGTCTTATGGGGGTACAAGTGTTAAGGTTACATATATTGCACATGCCCCCTAATTTCAAGGTACATTGCTTGCATTTGTTGACCACATGTTTTCTGTAACACTGATTGAAGACACTGAATACTACAATATTTATCTTGAGAAACTTTTGCATTTGGTACAAAACATTTTCTAATGTGGCTGATACAGAAAGTAGTAACTCTTTGGGGTTCTCTTCTTTCCTTATTTTCAGGGTGCTGGTTGCACAGCCCTGGTGGTAGCTGTAGTGGCAAGGAAGCTAGAACTTACCAAAGCAGAAAAACACGTGCACAATTTCATGATGGATACTCAGCTGACTAAAAGAGTAAGTTACCACCCATGGATCTTCAAAGGGAATATTTTTGGTTTTTTTCCAATGTTAGGAAATATGGTTTCTATTTTGACATCTAAAGCTGAAATGACATGAGTTTAAAAGTTGAGGCATTCCTATTTTATCACATTTTTAGAATAAGCTATTTCTAACATTAGGTCAATTAGGAAATCATTGGACAGTCTTGGTATTGGATAAACATAGATCACATAAATCTAAACAAATAGGCATACTGAATATCTAGTATAGTATGCAAGAAGAGATCACTATTGGATTGAGTAGGGGAGGGACCTTCTTTTAATTGTAAATTGGGATTTTTTTGGGAGGTTGTTTGACCAATTTTTTTCTTGACTTTTTTTTTTTTCCGGTTGGGTTTGAAAGATAATAAGAAACCACCACTAACTTTTAGAAGCCCAAGATAGGGGCAAAGACAGGCCCTTTGCATGACTTAAAAGCCATCAGGGAAATGTTGAAAACAGTACAGCATCCAGATGAAAGATCACTGTCCAGTTATTAGTAGTAAAGGAAAACGGTACTCACGGTGTTTATAGAGCACTTGCTCTGCGCCGGGCATTGCTCCAAAGCGGTTTCATCCTCACAACAACTTTATGAGGGAAATGCTATCATTATGCCCATTTTATAAATGTGGAAACCAAAACACAGAGGAGTTAGGTAACTTGCACAAAGTCATCATCTCAAGGTATAAAGCCATGTTGACGCAAATGATGTTTTTTTAGACTAAATTTTTAGCCTTTCTTGACAGTCACTTGAGACAAATGCCAAAGTCAAAAATAAGTAAAAATTGTTTTCCAGCAGAGTCATCTTGCTGTACAACCACTGCTTAAAATGGAATCCAAATAGCCCGTCACTGAATTGCAAAATACATTGTCATTTGGTAACTTTACCCATAAAAGAATCAAGAGATTTCATGCACAGTTCCAACTTTCAGTGTTTACACTCATTTTTTATTTTGGTTGTATGTATAAAAGTAATCTTGTTTAATTGGTAAATAATCCTAATAGGTCAGTCACTTTAATGCAAATATTTATTTTTACAGGTTATATTTATGAAATAGAAATGCAAATTCCAATTGCCTTGCTTATGCTTTTTGTGTTACCTATCAGACACTATTGTGAGACTTTAAGGCAATTGGTAGGGTCCACATTTATAGTAGATGATCAAAGCCTCTCATTTTCTTCCAACTCCTGCTAGGAAATGAAAATCTGTACGTGTGAGATTAGTCCACATCTAATCCAGAAATTGTAGCAGATGTTTTGTGTATTTCATCATGCACTTGTTTGGTCCTTTCAGGGTTCTGTACTACACAGTTTGTGTTTAAGAGTCACAAGTTTCACAACATCAACAAAACACTTCCACTAAGTCCTGTGTAGTCCATATTATTTTACCGTGATTATACGTTTTCTCGGGAATTAAGTTAATGCCACACTTAAGACATTAGGCAGAAAAATACCTTAAAATACCACGTAGCCCATATGTTTGCATGTAAATCTTTTCAATAGTTTAAAATAAAAAGTGACAGAATCCCAAATGAGAAAGCCAAGTTAGCATGTTTGGGCAGACTTCCCCATGTTTCATAAGCAGATTTTTAGTTTTATCTTAAGAAGGAAATATATAATTTATTTAAATGTTACTTTAGAATATTGTTATCCTATGTCTTAATTATCAAAACATTTTAAGACTTACAAAAGACAAGAGCTTTGAGTACAAAATCTATGGCATCACGTTGCTTTCTGTCACCTTTGATGAAGATTTTCACACAGGTCAGCCACTTTCATTTGGGAGACATTTATAGTGTAGTGACTTTAGTCCAGGGTCTCTCAACCTCAGCAGTAGTGACCTTTTTGGCTAGGTGATTCTTTGTTGTGTGGGACTGTCCTGTGCATTTTGGATGTTAATCAGTATATTTGACCTCTGCTCGCTAGATAGCACTGCCCCCTGCTCATGGCAGCAAAAACTTCTCTTCCAGACTGCCAAATGTTCCCGAAAGGGACAAAAGCATCTGCAGTCGAGAACTGCTGCTTTAGCTTGTTTTTCCCTGAGGATTTGACATCTTGGAAGAGACTGTGGAAGGCCCTCTTCACAGATATTTTTTGAGTCTGCCGACTGTATTGTAATTTCCCTCTTTCTTAGAATAACATATATTTGCTTGACAAAAATACACTGTATGTGTAATATAGTTGCAGTTCTGTGTTAACTGCTAAGGATAAATAGAGCTAAAATATCATATTCTACACTCAAGAAATATTAAGCTTTTATGGCACTGACCACTCAGAAAATCAGATAAAAATGTCTGATGTTTCCTGCTTTGCAGAAAAATGCACTTTGGCTCTTGTTGCTCATGGGTCCCGTAAGGCCCTGTGAGAGCCCCCTTTAGAGGACTGTGGACTCAGGATCTAGATCAGTGGGTCTACATGACCTTCCTTTAGTTTTTATGAATGGGACTCAGTTCCTTAAACTGACCAAGTATTCTGATAATGTTACAAGTTCTTATATACTTTTGACAAACTTCCTATAGATAATGTTGCATGAAGAATCAGATTCCCTGTAGAAGCTCTTTCAGTAAGTACTGCTCTAGTTTCAGTACTGCTCTAGTTTCAAAATTCACATTCTGCGTAATGCTTATCATGCCTAATTAATTCTGTTATTTTATTACTGTTTTTTAAAACTGGAGCTACTTTGCAGTATTTCTTAGGACAGGAGTCTCTTTATAGGTCTGAAAAAGATACCCCAGCAAGCTTGCTGGCAGATCAGTTTTTACAGGTGAAATGTTGCTAAATAAAAGTGTAAATATTAAAATGGCATTAGAATAAAACATAAATTTCTGGTTTATGATACCTATCCCATTATTATATTGTTATACTCAACACAATACATGAAAATAATAGCCCTTTTACAATCCTCTCTCCATTATTTTATACAAAGTCATCAACTTCAATGAGTATCATTTACATGGAACTTGATAAAATTTGGTTATTTATGGAAATTCCTAATGGACCCATTTATAATTTTTAAATAAAGATAAACAAATACTGAATGATCATCTATGAATAACCAAGAATGAACAAGGACTCAAAAGCCATACATAGTAACTAAGATGAATGATTAAATATACAAATTCAAGGGTACTACATATTATTAGAGGAATAACTACATAGAAGAAATCATTTTTTTTCTGCTGGTTAACAGGGGTAATGGCCATAGACATTCTGTAGTCTGAATTTGACTCTGACTCTAGAGAAAAAGCAATAGGAATGTTAAAAGACAGATTATTCCCCCGGGAACAAATGCAACTTTCCAAGTCTTCCCGTTGTATCTTTATGGAATTGAGCAATTTCCATGAAAAATTATTTACCATGTACAAATTTTCAGGGGAACAATTTTATACAGAAGTCATTTCTCTGTATGACTACATTAACCAAGTATAACAGTGTATTTGAAAGTAGAATACACCATTCATTGTGCACCAGCATCAAGGAAGATTATTCTGTGTAATTCTAAAAATTTACATGGCACTCTGCAATTCAGAAAGGGCCAACAGGTACATGTATCCAGAATAATCTAGTGATTTTTGAAATGAAAGCATGATACAAGTAACTCGTCACCTAAGCTTATTTGATAGATTTGCAGTTTATCACCTTACAGAGGCAACGTGTTTTTACCATGTTATACTTTTTTGGAAATATGTTATTACTGCTGTTCATTCAGTTCTGAACAAATGGGAAATCTTGGATTTTGGTCCTCAGAATACCTTCATTTTTGGAAAGAAACTTTAGAAATTATGTTAAGTTCTCAGAATTGCTTGTTCTTAAGTTGCTAGATATACCGCAAAGGATAATTATACATATTAATGTCCACTGTGGGTGTTTTCAATCCTGTTAAGAATTCTTAATAGGATCCATAATAAGAACATTATTATGCTGTTATATAATTTTGTTTCCTGCATGTCTCTTAACAAGTGAACAGAAATTCCAGAGGATTTACTCTGGGTAGCTTTTTACATTGTCCTTGGCTACACAGCCCAGTGGTTTAAAGGGTGAAACGAATGGGTCACTCGGCCTTGCCATGTTGTACAGCCACAGCCTTCACCCTGGCCCAGGTACCTGATCTGAAGGAGAACGGGGAGAGAGGGGCGGGAGCCATTAGCAAATCCACGTCTGCTGCCAGGGCGGCTGGGAGCATATGGCACCCTGGTGCCCTCCCCTGGAACTGGCAGAGAATGGAATTATTAATATTATGCTTAAAAAGCCTCTGAAGGAAGAGGCAGAAGGAAAAAAAAATGAAAGAAATAGATATGAAGACTCAAAGTAACAAAAAACAAAAGAAAAATATAAAGAAATAGCCTTTTTTAGACAATGCTGTCCATTACCAATATCATACCAAAGTTACAGTTAAAAGTCTAGCAGCTTTAAGTGTTCTGGTGGTTTAGAAAGTACTATTATCCTTAAAACTCCACATAGTAAGATGAGAAATATTTTTATTTTATAATTAACTGTGAGTCAGCAATATAATGCTTCATGGCTTTATACCGATGAAAGTCATTTTTAAGGCACCCGGGTTATGTACTAGTACAATATACTAGTAATAGTTCTTTCAGAGCCTTTATTTTTTCAAATTGTTATCAGAATACCTGATCATCAATATGCCTTCCATAATTTTTCTGATAGATTTTGTGAGAGTTGATCTCATCACTCTCACTAATGTGAGGCAGAGCAACTGTTCCCATTTTTCTTTTTTTGGTGTGTGTTGGGGGTGAGGTTCAGGTTCCTGTTAACAAAGGTCCTTCCCCCTCACTTTCCTTATTGTTTGAAAAATAGGAAATCAGTTATATTTCATAGAAATTGTGGCCTATTAACTGGCTCTAGAATTATTACAGCTACTAAATTTTTGAGGGATATCTATGAATCCTCTTATAGCGTATCATAGAATCTAGCATGTGGAAGAGATTCAACACATTTGTTGAATTCATAAATGGAAATGCACTGACCCTTTTAAGGCCTTGGTTTCTTCTCTAAATCTGTATACCCTTCTTATCAAGCGGGTCCTTTGGTTCATAATAAGACATTTTTAATGTATACATTATACATACTGTGGTGTCCTCTTAACACCATGGACATCTATTTAGTACCAGCTACACCCAACCACTAAGCGAGAGAGACACAAAGATTAGTGACATGAACCCTGCCCTCTGAGAGTCTGTAAAAGCCCCGGGAAGGGAGGAAGGGGCTCAAGAGTTACATGATTATTACAGCAGGGTTCTTAACTGAGGAGGCAAAGGAAACTTTCCTCCCAGATCTGCTTCCCTCTCATCTACATAATCAAGAATGTGCACATCAGCTTCTCCCCATTTTTCCCAGAAGTTTGCCTATCACTTTCATGTAACAATTCCCCACTCTTCAAACCTGGAAAACACTAAAGTGCTTTCAACACTGTCTTCTCACTGCCCTCTGTCTGCTCCCTTTCAACCCTCAGAGGGAAAAGAAGACCATACTATTAGACACGCATCTGAGTAATAGGCAGAGAGTGGGGTTTGTTTGGGTTTTTTCCTGCCATTCTGGGATATGTTGTTTTGTGGCTGTCATGTTGAAAAGTAGCAGTTAAATATGATGCTTTTTAAGAGCTTTACTCCTGTATTTGAAAACCTATTAGGGAGCTAGAAAAAGGATGTTTCAAAATAAATTCACATATTTCAAAGTTTTTAAAAGCAGCTGCAGGGATTTCATTTTCAGATGAGGAATCATATTCATTTAAGCCTGTCAGCTAAAACGAGTACTTAGTGAATACAAATCCTGCAACATAATGCCTCCAGGGCATCACTCACCCCACTGAACTCTGAGACTGAGGTTCCCTGCTCCCCTTCAACCATTCCCCCACCATCCCAAGGAGAAAGAGTCATTTAAAATAATCACCTTTTAAAAAGTTTATAGACTTTAGAAATACTTTAGCATTATTTGCTGTTTGGAGGTGGGAATCCAGAACCAAAGTCAATTGCTATGTTTCTGTTCCAGAGGTTTTTACCCAGGATTTTTGCCTACCTTTCCAGCATCCTCCCCAGGCTGGAATCTAGGCTTCTCTTCTGGGTCTTGGACTGGTAAAACCAAGGAGGGCACATGTATAGGGGCCCCAGCTAATCTTCAGGCTGCTCAGAGAGCTGAGACCTCTTTCGTAACGGGGAAAGACTATCCCAACCCCAGGAGCTGCTGGCCAGTCACTTCCCACTCCTCTTTCTTTACAAGCAGGGCCCTCCAACATCAACAACTCATGCTGCATCCACTTCCTTACCTTTGAAAGGACATGAACATCAGAGGAAACAGCCTTCTGAAAGGTGGCTCTCACTGCTGTCTGAGCAAAGCATTTTCCTAAGCATGAAGATGGAGCCAAGAATTTACTAGAACTCCTTTTAACTTCACAGTTGGTGGTGGTCTTACTTATATCCACGGCCGGTTGCTCAGCATCCGTTTCAGTCATTTCTCTGTTGGTTTGAGGACGCTTTCCATGCACAGAATCTAATGGATACCCAGAGGAAGTGCATTATGAACCAAAGTCACTCCTAAAAGCAGTATTACTGGAAAGAAACAAGTCGTTTTCTTAAAATGAGTTCTAGCAATGCAATCTTGCTCAAAAAGAAAACCTTTCAGCTCCATGTAAAAGGATTCGCCATCAGTTACCAAACCTGATGTCTTCCTTGCTACAGTGAAAAATATAAATACAGATTTGATCCCATAGTTTAGTGTAATTTTATAACTCCTCATTGTGAATGTAAATAAGGAGTGAGAAGACTTTAATAATAATTATCTCTAACTTTCTCATTTTAGCCAATCACCTCTACTCGACCTGGTTAGTGCAAAGTCGAGGACTTAGAATCCAGTTCTCAGTCTTGGCCCATTGTTCTGTCTTCCCCATTGCACTGCTTTCCTTAAAAGGTTATCTTCCACCTAGAACCTCACTAACCTGTGGCTCTCTTTGGGATATATCCTCTGTCCCTCACTGAAAAGAATTAAATGGTACTTCTTAGAATAAGTCATTAACAACAAGCCCAAGTGAAAGCTCTGGGTCATCAGATCCTGTCTATATTGTGAGCAAAGAAGAGGACAAAACCTGTCCTTTGCCCTTTATCAGCTCTTAGGATTTTGTTTGAAGACTTTAATCAAAAAGCAAGTGGCTTGATAAAGTATTAATTCCTTTCATCACCTGTAGTAGGTCTTGACAGTGTTACCATAATGCTTTCAGCCTTTACATTTGTCTCATTCATTTGAAATGCAGTGTATTTAAATTTCCAACAAAATCATGATAACATAGACTCCTTGTTAGTTAATTAAAATGTGCTAACAAGCCTGCAGATTGCTAAGTCACTCTGGGAGGCTATACGCACTGGGTGTACTCCTACATTCAGCAGTGGAAATGTTCCCTCCCAGGAGCCCACAGCCAGAAATACCCAGCGAGCTTGCAAAGGAAAAAACTAACCTTGGCCTTCTGTCATTTTGCCTTTCTCCGGGAAACAAAGAACATGGAGAGAACAATTGTAATACAAGGTGAAGAAATCAGTACCTCTTGATTTAAAAAAAAAAAAAAGAAATTTACAAAGTAGTCAAATTGAAAAGTTTCCTGAAGGACTAGGATAGAGTTTAGCACAGAAAGAGATTGGTAGTATCTCCCTAATATTTCAAGTTAAGAGTTGTTCCCAGGAAGATACAGGTACTTCTAAAAAGGCATAGATTCAATAAAAATAGTCTTTAGACTTACTAAATAGAGCTACAGCTTGCCACGATCTGTGGGTTGAAGAATATGACCCATAGCAAAGTTACAAAGGATTCTGGTCTGGACTTTATCAAGTGCTTTTTTTATTTGTTTTCTTATCAGGTGAAAAACGCAGCTGCCAATGTACTCAGGGAAACATGGCTAATTTACAAAAACACAAAGCTAGTAAAAAAGATAGATCATGCAAAAGTAAGAAAACATCAACGAAAATTCTTGCAAGCTATTCATCAGTAAGTACCATTTTTCATTTCCATCCTGCTTTTGTATCCTTGGCTTTTGATTTTTGCACTTGCTGCTTCTTTCATGAGGGAGGAAAAAAGAAAACATTGTCATGTTTGTCCACAGAATATATTATTTGGCAATTTAATAAATCCATAAATGAAATCCTGAAGGAAAATGTCAGTTCCTTTTATGATTAAAAATTATTAGTAGTAGAATAGTTACTTATTAAAATATCTTCTCAGTTTCTGTTTAGCATCAATAATTTCTGTTAAAATTTTACTTCATAATTTAACATTTATTCATATAGTTTAATTAAGATGTTTAGCTTGTATCTCCTGCAGAATCTTGAAAAACCATTATATGATCTATAAGGATTTTTTAACATACTGTCAAACATCTTTATATGAATATAGTGCATATAATTTAATAGTTGAATTTTAAATTAGTTTTTAATTAGAATTCTGGGGATTTTCTATATGCTACATGTTCATTATAGATTTTACAGTTTCTATGGATCTTATACTCTCTTATCATTATTCTAACTTTATCCAGACCACCATTATTCCGTTTCTGTAAGTCCTTCATGTCATTTTATTGTTCTATAATTATCATGGGCTTTTAAAGTAAAAATCTATATCTCATGAGATTCAATGATAATTTGAAAGCACAGGGTCTTTCTCCTTTAGGCTGGCAGATCTGTACCGTAAGTATTGTTCACGTGGGTCTCAATCATGATGCCATGCAGACTTGCTCTTAATGCCACGTCCGTGTGGAGAAGAGCAGACATAGTCGCATTTGTGGCTCAGAAAAGTAGCCTTCCTCATGGCCCCTACCAGGGGAATAAGGGAAAGGTGGGTGCATGCTAAGTCTCTTGGCTATCCACTGAGATGTGTCTTCTCAGAGACAACTAGCACAACAGACAAGAAAGCTCAGAGGCTGGAACGTTCTGTGGGAAATCACGAAGCACTCAGCCTCTATCCTCTCACCTGTCCTTCTAACTTCCCCTGCTTAAATAGGTATCCCTGAAAGTGTGGAATGTGTCTGTAATTATGGACAGAGGCACACTGAAAAGCCAAGTACTCTAGAGGGAGACCCTGCACGTGTGGTAGACTAGCTGGCCGTCATTGCCACTCACAGCTGCTCAGCCATATTCTTTGCCTGGTTGCCACCAACATTGTTTTCTAAGAAGGCTGTATTTCCCCCTTAACTCTGTGACTTGACTGGACACACAACTATGATTTTTTCCCCTCATTGTAAGGAAAAGACAAGGTTAACATTTTAAGATAATACTCTTAGAGTCAGGGAAAACCATGGAGAGAACCATTATATTCCATCTGGCTCCCAAGAGGGAGCTCACTGCCCAGAGCTCACAGGTACCCTCACAACCCAGCACCACCACTTGCCTAGAGCGCTTGCCTGGCCATCTTGGTTCCTCGAAGTTTACACCTAAGACAATGAGCTCCCCCATCCTCCGCCTCCACTCGGAGATGCCGAGCTTGCACCTCTGTGTGCTCCTCAGGCCTGTTCCTGTCAAACAGGCCTCTTCCCCAGGGAACCCCCCCACCCCCCCGCGGGGCACAACTCTCTTGTGAGAGTGGCCTTCCTTCCCCCCCCCCCAAAACTATATAACACATAACCCCAACGTTCCTACAAGAGATCCACAGGCTATGCCATGGAGATACCATTTTCTTGCACTTTTAATGTTTTTATAAAAACTTGTATTCGAGTATGTTAATAAGAAGACTTACCTTAGTGAGTGTGAGAAGATGTGTGTGTCCAGTTGTAGAAGGCGTGAGAGGACATGGCAGTGAGCAAGTGTAGGTGGCCTCTGTGTCACACGGCCACACATCCTGTTTCCTCCACGGTTTTACTCAGGTCCTTTTCTGTCAGCATAACCTATTAAAAGTATAATTACACGTGATTTGCCTTTGATACATTTTCATATAACACACCCAAAAACTGCTCTGACAGCTTTTCTAACATAGTTCTGTAGCCTTATGTAAATGGGGGGTATATGTATTATATCTTGTTTATAAACTGGTAATAAACTCTTTAAGTTCTGAATGCATTCAAAAAGCCTGGGATCGAATTTAGGGGTGTTGACTATAAAATTCTTTAAACTTTGCTGTGGGTTTGAAATTTTTTAAAATGTTAGAAAAAAATCTTTGGGGAAGCTAAGTTTAAAAACTGCCCCTATACAACTAGCAAATGCACCGTACAAGGCATGTCAAGCTGACCTTCAGGGCGGGTACCGCGGGGTAACTCGCGCAGGGTCCCTTAGCATGCCGCTTTTGCATAGAGGGACAGAGGAAGCCACCTGTGATTCTTCTGCTTCTGTCGGACATTTCTCATTCTTTTTCTTCTGTAGCAATGTCTACTTCTAAAGCATATGAGCTTCAAGCAACTCGAAAATGCTCTGAATTGTTTTATCAATTAGTCTTGGGGTTCTTGGGTTTCCTTTGAGGTGGGGGACACCTGTACCTTGTGAAAAGTACAACTGAGTATGTGTTTATTCCTACGGGATGGGTTTGGCTGGATCATTCTAATCTGCATACTCGCCTTTCATTTTAACCTAGTGTTGGAAATTGGGGAGTGACATCATAAAGGAAAGCACACAGGGCTCGATTCCCAAGCGCAAGGCCTGCCCTGCCCACTGTGCAGACCCAGTGAGCCCCTCAGCCTGACCTGCCAGCACGGGGTGCAATCAGACCTCACCAGGGGAAGAAAAACTTATAAATTCATTTGACAGAGCAAGCAGTCCTGGCCTCTTCTATTCTCTGATTTGTCCCGAGAGCTTTTGCAGCAGCTGTCTCCCCTTTTCTCGGTCTCCCCGTCACAGTTCTCTCTCTCTTCCCAGCTCCATAGCTTCTCCGCCTTATACATGGCTGCTCTAGTCTCTTATGGATGCCGATCTCTCCAGGCTTGTGCCCTCTTTTCAGTAATGTGTCTGTCATTTTAGATTGTCACTTTAGTACCAGAAAGTGTTTTCTCGAACTTTTAACCCTTTTTCTAAGTAGCATCTTTAAAGTTTATCATTACCCATCACCATGAACTTGTTTCAGAGCCAAGAACTCCTAATATTCGTACTTTATATAACATAGAGTGTTGCAATTACCTGCCTTTCCGAAAGCCAGGCTTCTGAGTAGCCCCAATTTGGAAAAGATGCATCCTCACCAAAATTATAATGCCATCCTTTTGCATATTAGCCTTTTAACCACATGCCGTTCACATTAGGCAAAAATGTTTCCTATTGTTTACTTGAACAGCAATTATCAAGAGGCCAAGATGACTTTATGCACGTTCTTCCTTCTGAACTCGAATTCAGGAGGAAGATAAGTGCTTTCCGGTGAGAGAAATACAGTAGCAATGAAGGAGGTGGTAATACAATTGCATAGTGTTCCTCTTTGGTCAATATGTCAAAAACCTGCTAAACCATAACAGGATCTTCCAGCTAATGAATCGAGCCCCCTGTGCACAACTGAACACCACATTGTGTTATTTTTGTTCCAGAATATTTTACAGTTTCTTTTCTTTTGTTTTGTCTTTTTATTTCAACAAAATGAAAATAGAGCTCGGAAGTAAGTTGTGTGAGCCGCTCCTTTCAACATTTGCAGAATTTTCTACTGGCTGGCTGCATGCACCCAGCAGATCCTTTATTTGTGAATTTTAGTAGTCTGATTGCTGCTATGGAAATGTGATCCAAAATCATGATATTTTCCTGTGATAAGTGAAGTTCACAAGGAAGAAATCAACATATGTTTCTTATTCTTCTTTTATGAGGGGGAAAAAAAGTGCAACACACATCTGCATGTTACCTTTTATTCTGGCAGCTGCAGCTTAAGCAGGCTTTTCCTATCAGCTCTCCCACATTACAGGCAATATAAGAAACAAAAAAGAAGACACGATGATTTAAGCTCAGGAAGGGAAAGAAATTTGAATCAAACAGGGCTTCTCTATGTCAGCTTTCCAGATTAGTAGGAAATAAAATGGGCAGAATTCTACTCTCAGTCATAGTGTAGTAACCCGAGAGAAGTAAATTAGGCTCCATTGTTTATAAAATGAAATACTTGCCAGTGACCCCTCCAGTCTGACTTGCAGAATTCAGGACACCCTCTGTACTCACAAGTCGCTATAAGCATGTGGCCCAGAATCCAAACTGCAGTCATTTCTGTGCCACCTATACTATTATTCACTTAAATTTGAAAATGAAACTTTATATAAATTCCTATCATAAATGAATAAAAAACTGTATCACTCACAGCAAAAAGAGTTGTAAAGGTACCATCAGCCGACAGTTGAAATACTGGTATCGAAGTGCAGCCATAGGCAGTTGCCTGCAGAAAGGTAAGAGCTGAGATCCTGGTCTCTCTTTTTTTAAAAAAGAGAGATTAGCAGGTGTCAGGAGATAAATACAGAGTAGGACAAGCCTGAGATAATTTTTTTTTTTTTTACAATAATGAAGAATTAGAACTAAAAGGAATTTGTTTTAGTATTGTTTAATGTGTTGTTTGAGTATCAGTTAAAGTCACCTAGAACACCTTTGTTGGTAAGAATCCAGCACTTCAGAAGCATGTCCTTACCTAACACAATTGATTTCCTACATGAGGAAACAGGAAGCCAAATTAGGGCCAGTGAGGATGGAACTCATGACTGACATTGCTCCTTTCTGTAGTACACTTCTGTGTAACGACCCACAGATGTTTAAGGGGTGGGTTTTTGTTCATTTGTCTTTACTTGTTTTTAAAAGATATATATCAAGAATTGTAACCCTTGTAAGTAGTGAGAGAAACCTTTCTCAACAATATACTGAGTTTAAATACATACTTGTAAATTTCTTTTAGATAAGAACATAATACATCTTTATAATAGCATTAAAAAAAAAAGGCCATTAACTTTGTTCCAAGCATTCTGATAAACACATAGTTGCAATGACAAGTTATAACCTTAAACTGTTTTAAATTGTTAAAGATCATGCTGTAGGTAGGTGTCATCTAAACTCTTACTGGCAGAAGCAACTGCATCTTTACTGCAGAGCAGATTTGGTGACATATTGGATATCCCAGTTTCAGAACAAAATCACTGAGCATTAGGAACACATGTTACAAAAATCTCCCTGGCAGTAAAATCTTGCCCTGTGAGTTTTAATTTCTTCTATATAATTACCTTTACTTTAAATTGAAAAATAATAAAAAGTACTTTCCAGCATTAAAACTATACTTTGTAAAATGACTCATCATCAAAGGAAAATAAGGTTAGCATGGAATTTTTTTTTTTCTTTTTCATTAAGTAGCTCAGAGGGACCTACTTTTCTTCTGGAGCAAGACTTTGAATTTTTGGCTTAAAGAACAATAAACTACTTTTTTCTTACTGGGAAATCGGAATTTCTTGGTATACTGTAAGCACTGAATAAATATTTATTTAAATAAGGAATAGTAAGGGTTCTCATTAAGAAAGATTTTTATTAAACAGGGGCCTTTCTTTTCTGTCAATCAAGTACGTACAATGATATTTACAAGTAGATAGTCCATCCACCAGATCCTCTAGTTGTCCTCTGACTTTTATCTATGCTGAAAATTAAGGAAAATCCTAAGGAAATGGTCTGGCCGTCCTGCAAATTTAATGGCAGTTTAAGATAAAAGTCAGGTGGAATATACCGAAGAATAAGAGAATTATGTGTTTTCAGTTTACTTGCTGCTGGTTGAATAAAAGTTTTATTTTTGTTAATGAGAATCTCACTTATCACTGTGTTTTCATCAGGTTCAAATACCTAACCCAATCCATTTCAGACTAAACAGGGCTAATACCTGTATCTAGTCACGTAGGCATAGGAAGGTGCTCATTGCTCCAACATTGATGAAATTCCTGTTGCTTTGCATATTTCTTCCTATGTCTATTTGTCATGATACTGGGGCTTTAAGGAATGTTTTGGCTTTTCCTCATATGGTTAAATCCTTATGAGCCTTTCTGAATTCAACGTTACCTGATAAATAGTTGTCCTAAGGACATCTCATCTCTTGTGCTCTCTCTCTCTCTCTCTCTCTCCTTTCTTTTTTGTGGTGTTGAGGAAGCATGCTTCTCATTGTACCAGATACATAACCAGTTTGGACTTTACCCCAACTATTCAAGGCATTATCCATGCAGTTATTTGCTCTTGTCAATTTTGTGCATGCTCTTTGGAAGGCATAAGGTAGCCACAGAAAGAAGGGGACCTTTCTGACTTCAGATTCTGTCTTTTAGATTAAGAAGTGTAAAAATGGAGCAGAGGAAACTGAATGACCAAGCAAATACCTTGGTGGACCTGGCAAAGGTAAGCCTGAGGTGCGCAGCCCTCGTGGTTGCATCTGCTGAAATTAACCACTGCACAGTCACTAATAATTAATGCTTCAGGAGATGCCCAGCCCAAATCTAATTAAATCAAGCCAACAAACCACCCTAAAATGATGGTCCAATTTAAAAGAATGTTTCTAAAATGCTTGCTTAATAGGCTCTTTCCCTGTATGCATTATTCAATCCCCATTCTAAAGGCTTTCCCAATTATAGTGATTTGGAAGTACCATGAGGAACATAAGTGGAATATGAGACAATACCTTTGGGACTTTTATTTGCAGAGCAGAACTACATCCTAGGTGTGCTATGAGGTTTAAATTTTTTTTATGTATTTTATGCAAACTCGGAAGAATATAAAGTCGAAATCTTAAAAAGGGATACCAGAAATTACATTCTAAAATGAAAATTGTCTTCCTAAAGAAATTGATCACTTTTTTATGGTTCTTTTTTCATTTCATTATTTAAGAATCATACTACTTTTTAAAAATATATATTAAATTGCTCGAGGTCAGGAGTTCGAAATCATCCTGAGCAAGAGCAAGACCCCCGTCTCTACTATATATAGAAAAAATTAGCTGGGCATGGTGGCACATGCCTGTAGTCCCAGCCACTCGGGAGGCTGAGGCAGTAGGATTGCTTGAGCCCAGGGGTTTGAGGTTGCTGTGAGCTAGGCTGATGCCATAGCACTGTAGCCTGGGCAACAAAGTGAGACTCTGTCTCAAAAAAATAAATAAATAAAAATTATATATATATATAAATATTTTTTTTAAAGTCCCCAAATTCTTCTACTGCATTTATAAGATTTATCTGAGTGATTCTTGGTTATTCCTCCCCAAGTTAAATCCATTCTCAAAATATAAATATTTATCCAACAATCAAAACATTGCATTCTCGGCCGGGCGCTGTGGCTCACGCCTGTAATCCTAGCTCTTGGGAGGCCGAGGCGGGCGGATTGCTCAAGGTCAGGAGTTCAAAACCAGCCTGAGCAAGAGCAAGACCCCGTCTCTACTATAAATAGAAAGAAATTAATTGGCCAACTGATATATATCTAAAAAATTAGCCGGGCATGGTGGCGCATGCCTGTAGTCCCAGCTACCCGGGAGGCTGAGGCAGAAGGATCACTTGAGCCCAGGAGTTTGAGGTTGCTGTGAGCTAGGCTGACGCCATGGCAAAAAAAAAAAAAAAAAAAAAAAAAAAAAAAAAAAAAAAAACATTGCATTCTCCTGAGCAAATTCTAAAGGAGTTATTAGAATGGCATTTGTATAAGTGCTCAGCCTTTTAACACAAATGCTTTGAAAGAGGCAAGTATCAGTTGGATTTATATGAATGTTTTTATGTTTGATATATCAGCTATGCCTTTCCTAAAGCCTTAAGTATAATCTATAAAAATTACACATATTTGTCCTAGTCTTATTAAATAATGCACCTAACATATTCATTTAACATAATGTGAATTACACATACTACATAAATATGTTGAAACTGGTAAGTATTTAATGCCTTACTCTAGGAGAGCATATATCATGTATGTAACCTGGGCAGCACACATTTATAAGGCATGAAGATGTCTTGTTAACATTTACAAACATGGCTTTCACTTGGACACATCATGAACAAAGATGGGGCAGGCTCCTGTATTCCTCTCAGGTTAAATGATAAAAGGAATTGGGTATTTTTATGAAAAAGTAAAACAGACCCCTTTCAAATATGATGTGGATAAGTAATTTTCCTTCATTAGTATACAACTATGAGGCAAGATGCTGTTTCTTTCAAATTATTTCTTTGGTGTCATGCTTATTATGACCCCAGGACTGTATATGCTGCAGGGTTCAATATTTTTTGAATGAATGGATGCTGTTCACATAGTCTCAAGACTCTGTAGTAGAATAATGCACTCTGTCTCCATGGGCAAACTGAAACAAAGTGCCTGTATTTCTGAACAAAAACTCCCTTATTTAATCAGTTCATTTATCATCATTAAGAGGTTGTGAAGCAGGAGAAGAACACAGATTAAGAAGGGAAATGCGATAGGAGGGAAGGCTTAGACAAAGGGGCCTTGAACTTGGGAATGGCTGCACTAAGGTTAACATCCTTATCCTTCCCTCCTGACACCCTTCTCCTGCTATGAGCTGGTCAGGGCTGGGGTCCTCTCTCCTTGTCCCTTGCCTACTTCAGGAAATACACCTAGGAATTACCCTGCAATCAAGAAAATTAATTTCAAGTTTCACTAGAAACCCAGAAACATCTATGTCAGCCACTTACCTCTGGTAAAGCCATTTTTGTCTGTCCTTACACCACCTAAAATCATTGGGTGATTTTACCACTACACATTCTTCTGCAGCTGAACCAAACTAACACCTAAGATCTTACGTTTCTAACTGCTGGTGTTGAGCAGGTACACTGAGTGTGCTTTGCAGGCTTAAGCTGCTCAGGCAGCCGATGCCCCTCTGACAGTCCGCGCCCACCGGCAGGAGGCTAGCACTGAAGAACGGGGCGTTGACAGTTTGCTTCCAGGGCAAGTATAATGAAGCCTCTTGGTTCTCAGTTTCTACATTCTTCTTAACCCTGTTTTCCAGACCCAGAATATCATGTATGACATGATTTCCGACTTAAATGAAAGGAGTGAAGACTTCGAGAAGAGAATTGTTACCCTGGAAACGAAGTTAGAGACTTTGATTGGCAGCATCCACGCCCTCCCCGGGCTCATAAGCCAGACCATCAGACAGCAGCAGAGGGACTTCATTGAGGCTCAGATGGAGAACTACGACAAGCACGTCACCTACAACGCTGAGCGGTCCCGGTCCTCGTCCAGGAGGCGGCGGTCCTCCTCTACAGCGCCACCAACTTCATCAGAGAGTAGCTAGAAGAGAATAAGTTAACCACAGAATAAGACTTTTTGCCATCATATGGTCAATATTTTAGCTTTTATTGTAAAGCCCCTATGGTTCTAATCAGTGTTATCCGGGTTCTGATGTCAGAATCCTGGGAACCTGAACACTAAGTTTTAGGCCAAAATGAGTGAAAACTCTTTTTTTTTTTCTTTCAGATGCACAGGGAATGCACCTATTATTGCTATATAGATTGTTCCTCCTGTAATTTCACTAACTTTTTATTCATGCACTTCAAACAAACTTTACTACTACATTATATGATATATAATAAAAAAAAAAAGTTAATTTCTGCACATACTCGTTTGGTCACTTGACATTTCTAAAGCTTCATTTCTCACATTATTTTCAAGGTCACATGACTGATTATCACCGGATGCATGCTGGTGATTGTGACATCCAAAAGTTTGGCTGGTTGAAAAGACGACTTTCAGTTCCTCTTTATACCCTATTCACTAAGATTTTCCCTCACTACGAATTATTACCGTCACAATAATTTGAACCAGCACAGCTTACTATTCTTTTTGCATTTACAGTGTCTCCTTTTTGTATTCAGTTTGTTTTCAAAATCTGGAAGTCAGGCTGTTATATCAGAACACATGCAAACAAAGGGCAGAGATGTGTTCAAGAATTATTGTATTCCCAGTTCGCCAGCAAATTTACATGAAGAAAGTAGCAAGGTACACCACTGTCTATGAGGAGATGTTGCACAATTTTAGGACTAAACTAGTGAAAGTGGAAAGAGTCAGAGTTGGGTTTGGGGTTTAGCTCTGCTACTCGGTAGCTGTATACACTTCAACAGCATTCAGCCTTCTGAGCCACTTTTTTCTCATCCATAAAATGAGTATAAAGTGACACAGCTATCAATGGGGCTCTGCAAAGCCTGGCATCTATCTCGTCAAATGATGTTATTTTTTTATTACTATTTCCAGCATAAATCACCAAATATTAAATAGCCCCATGATTTAGCCTATCTTCTAACTTTTAGCACCTGGCACTATAGATTATAAATTCTCCTTATCTGTCTGGTTCATCCTTAAAGCAATTTACTGGACTCTGGATTACCATATTCATCTCCTTATCCTATCACTGTTTTTTTGTTTAATGTGACCTAGAATATCAATAGGTAAGTATCTTTTGTCTTTGCAATTCTGACATACTCCCTTTCTGCTTCTTGCCATCCTACAATATCTGTTCATAAATATGATCCAGAAATGCAGAGGGTGCTTGGTTAGGGAAGTGCTGGGAAGGTCACCTAAGAGCTGGACCAAAAGGCCCAATTCCCTTTCCAAATCCATCCCTGTCGGTCCTGAGCCTCCACCTACTTCTCCCAGTCTGTGTCACCTGCACTGATTCCATTTGTGTGTTTTAACACAATTGTCAAATCCATCCACTAAGAAAAAATTACAAAATTATCGTTGGACAAATAAAATCTAGGGAATGCACGAGATGTGGAGGACTCTGGAACAAGGAGTATCCTTAGAGAAACTTTTCTCCATCTCACTGTCACTACCGCTAGTTTCTGATGAGCCTGATGAGGGAAGGAGAAACAAAGGCCCTCTCCATGCTGCTTTCTAGTGCTTCTGTTAAATGAGTCATGAGTCAGTGAACCCAGAAATAGAAAGCATGGATTATAGTTTCCCAGATATTTTTAGAAATACATAGAATTACTTTCCCCCAGAAAATGCCCTGTTCTCCAGTTTTAGGTTTCTTCTGTCCCAATGTCCATACTCCCAGATGGTAGAGTGTGTGGCAGTGGGGGAGGGGGAAGCCACCCAAGGGACTAGAAATGCCTGGGGCTGCACACCTTGGCAGTGTCCAGAGTGTGATCTTTCATGCTAACTCAACTTCAGGTCTAGCTAAAAGCTGAGTCTAAAGGAGGCAGTGGTCAGCAGGCTGTCTCTAAGCAGAACCAAGGGACCCCACCCCAGTTCTCCCACTCCATCAGTGACTTGCTTCCCCTGCCCCTTGTTAGGAAAGCAGCTCTCATCTCTCTCCATAACCCAACTTTCCTCCACTCTGTTAGAGACAAGTCTCATTTAATTCTTTAAACAACTCCATGTTTATTTCCATTTTACAGATGACAATGCTAAAATGTGTATCTGATTATTTCTAAAACGAGTTAAAGAAATGAGTTCCTTTCTCATAAACTTAATTATCAATTTCCCTTGGGTCTCCCACCCCACCCCACAAAATGGAAACCTATAAACAAGGTAATATTTGTCGTCAGTAAATCCTATCACTCAAAAAATATTTGAGGGCAGAGAAAACCTACTGCCCTCTAAATTAAAGGAGCAAAAATATTTGAGGACTCTGGATTAATTCAACTCAAAGGAAAAGTGCACATGCACTGTGGAGTATTTTGTGGGTATGCATCACAACAGAATAAAGCAGATTATACAACTAACTAAGCAGTGCCACCCACATGCTGAGGTGATGCCACCGGTTACCTCTGCTAAAGTGGAGCCAGGTAACGAACCCTCAGCCACCCAGACCCAGCACCTCACCTGCCGAAGAGACTGTGGCTACCAGACCTCCTCGGCTGATAGATGATGGATGATATGAGGTACTAAAATAAAGAAGTCTAAACTATATCTCCACTGTAAAGAATCAAAATTGCTTTAAGTAATAAGGGATTGGGTATAAAATACACCCAAATACTTATGGGTATAATATTCTAAGTCTACATTATTCTGTCTAGAAAAACCAAATGTTCGCTGTGCCACCTACTAACTTTGCAAGGTGGGCTGGAGTGGACACATGCTGTCTCTTCAAGTTCTACATATATCATGTGCTCGTGTGTAATTCTGAGTCATACATGAACTGATTCTCCCTCTACCTCGTTTCCTCCCACTTTTGTCTTACTGCTTATAACTGGAATTGTTAGGTTGAACATTCATATTTTTCTGGGCTTTGAGAAAACAAGTCCAAAATTAACTTGTATTCTGTTGGATAAAATCACAGTGCCTAAAAGAGGAAACTAACAATAAATAGATAAAAGGCCTTTAAGTTAACCAATATTTTAGATTTTTCAAGGTGAAAATTACACATTATGAGGAAATATTGGCATTTCTAACTATGACTGAAATAGTTTTTCACTTTCTCTAAAAACCAAATTAAGTACTAATTTGCATGTGTTCTAAAACATATTTTCAGGAAGTTTGAGGATTATAAGTGATCTTGACAGAGAACACTGGTGGTAAAGGTCTTAAAAGCCGGTTGCTGTGGGGGAAAAAAGGTAGGTGAACATTTTCTAGTGATTGGGAAACAGCCAAAGTGGGGAATACTTTAATATCCTCCTGAGATTCCTGTCCCCTCTCTCTTTTAGAAATACATACATTAAGGGACTATTTCTTCTGTATAAATAATAAAGAGGACTTGAAAAATTAGTAGAAAGCAGAATACTGCTTTAAAAAATTAGAAGATTAAATTTTTAGAGGAAAAATCCCTTTGTAAAAGCATTTAATGAAAACTTGTTTATATACAAAGGAGAATAATGGCAATCACATGTTTTTATTCTTGACTTTGATAGCTAGAACACCTATAAGTAAACATGATTTTGGAAGGCCAAGAAAATGGCAAGAAAGCATAAAAAATTAAAAATGAAAAAGCAAAAAGATAAAGCACAGAAGTAACAATGGTTGAACTTAAACTCTTGAAAGGTAGAAAATATAAGCTTGGGTTAAAAGGAAACTGCATGTATCTACAAAAAAGACACATACAATGATAGAACAAATTAAAACTCAAATTACAGGGGAGAATTCAGGCTGATACAAATGAACAAAAAGTGGTGGCAATACTATAGATTAATGGAATTCGAAGAGAAAGTATGAAATCACATAAATATGGCCATGTTAGATTGATAGAAGTTAAATTTATACTGTAGAGAAAGCTGCATGAATTGTATGCACTAAATAGTAAAGCATATAAATTCAAACTCTCAGAAATGAAATAATAAACAAAATTATGGGAGACTTTAAGACCGCTGCAGTCCATACAGATCAAATAGGTCAAAATTAAAATATTTTTAAGAAAAATTTTACCAAAATTGGCCTAAGAACTAGTAGGAATATGACTAGAGAAATAACTATAAAATAAATAAGAATTTAATCAAAAATCTAACAACCCAAAAGGGAGTCGGATCAGTTGAGTTGAAGAAATAGATAATTTGCATCTTATATGAACTCATCCCTGAGGATTAAAATAACATGGTGTTATTTTAATATGCCAACTTATGTTAGTAGGAATGAGACCCTAAAATAACCACCGGGCAAGGAAAACATAAGAAGAGAAAGCTACAGGCCAAGTGACATACAAAGTCACATGTAAAAATCCTCAGTATGATATCAGGAAACACATCCAGAAATAACATTAAAAGAATAATGCATCATGACCAAGAAAGTTTAATCAGGATTTCAAAAATATTAAACCATAATATTATAGTCACAATATATAGCAAACAATCATGTAATTACTTCAGTCAATGCTAGAGATGTATCTGATAAGATTCAACTCAATCATGAAAAAAATGTATAACAAACTAAGAACAGAGCTTAATTTTATAAAGTATATCCGCCACATCCTAAGTAACAGCAAAACACTAGACACACATTCTTCTTAGGGAGAGGAACAAGGATACCAGCATCATCACTATCATTCATCCCTGTGCCAGAGCCCCAACCAGTGCAACTGTACACTGTTAAACTTCACACTGTTATTCTGCCCCTGGCAGATCAGGATCCAAGCAGAACACACACACACAAATTTAGGACTTTTTTTGGTGTGATTTGGAGCATCAGACTTTCTTACACAAGAAAGAAAAAGAAAAAGTCATCAAAGAAAAAACGTAAACATTTGCTTTTGGCAAAATTAGGAACTTTCTGATAAAAAGTAAAAAAGAAAGGAGAAAAATATTTACAATAATAGATGACAAAACGGCATTTTTATTCAGATAATATAGAGAGATATAATGGAATGTAGAGAGATATATAGATATCTCTACAGAAAAAGAGTGAAAGATTTCTACAGGCAACCCACAAATATAAATAGGCAATGAGCATATATATGCAGGATCCCAAACTTACTGATAATCAGGGAGGTGCACCATAAGTCAACAATAATATATTATTTGTCCCCAGTAGACAGACAAAAATGTTAATGGCGTAACACATGTTGTATGGAACAGGTATGGGGAAATAGGTTTCTCATATACTACTGCTCTGAATAGTCACAATAGTCTGTGTCTACTGCTCCAGCAAGATCAGTTTCTATATGCCAACAAATGCAACTACCAAGACCCT